CCCATCGACATACACCCCTGTTACCAGGGTACGTGAAACCCCGTTACAAGGGTAGAGCCACTTATTATATATTCAGTCTATACTTTGATCAAGAAAGCCACACACGGTTATGGTAAAAGGGCATATACGACAGCTACGCGAGAAGATTATGCCTCAAGGTAACACTACCTCAGCGCATGAGTGCGTGCAGCAAGCTCTCTCGTTACAGGATTAGGAATCCATATATATATAGAAGTAGGAGTAGCGGAGCTGAGCTGAGTCATAATGGTACCGAGTGAAAGCACATAATTTTGACATGAAATAGAAGCTACTGGCTGTCTAAATAAAAGAAGTAGATCCAGGACGCGACCAGCACAAAGTCCTCACCTTGCCAAAGTAATCACTAAATAAATAAATTACCGCACCAAGGCTGTGCCCAAGAGTGGATATGAGCTTCACATCAAGATATTGCGCCGAAAAATTTGCTCAACGATAAAGGAACTGTTGCTGGCCAATCTGCAATTGCAAGGTGTAGACTCCAAGCAGTCGACGGTGTGCAGGTTCAGTCTTCATCATTGTCGGCACATTCAAGTGCAACATGCGAGTGCACTGCTTTGCGAATTTCGTTATAGCGGACAAGGAGATCATTGTGCCTGAAGTAGGTGTAAATTCTGATGTTAGGGTGCTTCATTTGAGTCAAAGTTACCAATATATCATCCTTTCTTCATTGTTTATGTGAATTGTTCACAGGGTAGCACCTATAATCTGGGTCAATCATGCGAAGCTATGATAAATCTTAATTAATTATAATTTGCATGTGATCTGGAAAAAGCAATGCTGTACGTTAGCTTTAGTTAAACATGCAGTATGCTTACATGAAACACGAGACTTTCATGATGATATGCTCATTCCGTTTTGAGTCTTGTTGAGCCCACCACTTCACTAAAAAATACATTTTGAACAATTCTATCGTTTTATGCTCTTTCTAAAAGTGATATGATACTTAACGATCGGTTCTGCATACATCACGACGACGTTCATTTAGTGACACGGTGTGTAATGAAATGTGTCAGATTAGCCTGAATCCTTTTTCTCACGACATTTGCAAACACTTCGAGCTCAGAGATGTATATATTAACGACACTTGTTAGGATAAGCCTGGGAACACTCGATGCGCCGACTTCATTTGACAGTGGACCGTGCTTCCGATCAGTTCTGTTCTACAGACATACAGATTGGCGTGTAATTTTGTACAGCAATTTCGCTGATTCAATCAGTCGTGAGCACCGGCTACTAGACGTGCGTCATGGAATGAAAACGTATGTCAAAAGACAAAATACCAACTTAGTATTAGTACAGAGTATGGCATACCTGAAAGTGTCGATCCCGTGGATACACCTAGCAGTTAAAGCAGATGCAAAAGCATTATTTTCATGAAGATTCAGTGCACGTTTAATTTTATCGTTGATTTCATATAATGTAGCCATGACAAACGTGTTGAGATACATCACTAAAAGTGCGTGGAGGTCGTCACAAGTATTACGGTAATAAACGGGTGAAGCTCACTTGTTCATGAAGGTGGCAATAACTATTTAAACTGGTAATTTACTACCTTGTTTTTGAGTGGACAGAATCACATCAAGATCAAGGACATACGTCAGAGTTGTGGACTTCATAACTCACACGAAACATGTATTCGTCGCATGAAAAGCAGATTTGGTGTTTACGACCACATATTTGTGCGCACCTTTAAATATAACACTAAAGTATAACTGACGAATATTTGCATTATCTCATGCATCAAATTAGATTACTTGCTGAATTTATTGAATTAAGCGCATGAATAGTGGAAATGTTGCCTTTGCTACATATTGTCACATTTATGAAAATTTAATACTTTTCACGCACATACATCATTCTTCTCTAGATGTTGCACACATCACAATGTTCACGGGGTGCAAATCCAATAGTTTTATCAAACTAAACATCCAACATGTTGTTCTTTATCTCCTATCTCAGGATTTATACTATTGCGATGATAGATTCAAAAAGGTGCATAAACACAATTGCACGATACTCACCTCGTACAAAAATAGTCGATTGAAGATCAAATTCTGATGTCCTACTCTATAGTACAGTGGTCGTCAAGCGTTTGACTCTCCCAGAGATTGGGCTTAAAACTTAAAATGGAGCGCTTACGGGAGAAGCACAAGTGGATATATCTAATCACACATGATGAGCACTAGTAATACGGTTACATTTAAGGTCAGTGATTACGGGCGCGATACGGTTAGTGATTACGCACGCAATGGCAGTCGCTGA